ACTTACTGAAAATGTCAGTGAGAACAAGAACATTTTCCCTTCCATCTGAAGCAGGTTCCATGACAGTGAAATCGATTGCAAGTATTTCCTGAGGTTGGTAAGCTAACAAATTGGAAATTGGCGTCCGAATGTTAGGAAGAGGAGCTTTTGCTATCAAACATCTTTCACATTTCTTGCAGTGTGATTCAACATCCTTAACCATGGTCGGCCAGTAACAGCGCTTACGAACTAGAGATAAAGTTCGTTCGTTTCCTTGGTGTCCAGCGTTATTATGTAATGATTCTAACACATGCTGTTTCAACACTGTTGGAAGAACAATCTGTTGAATAGGTCCAATTTCTGATTCCATCCTTCTATACAAGATGTTATCATCAAAGTGTAACCGATCTCGCTGTTTCCATAGCTTCCTAACGTCCGGTTTTTCCAGTTTTAATTGATCAGCAGATGGTTTGATAGAACTTCTCAACCAATGAATGACTCGACCAATCACAGGGTCAAATTCTTGTAGTGAGGTTAATTCAGCGATCTCATAACCAGGAAATGAGTTGGTAGATTCTATTGTGGCTAATTCTGCATGAACAGAGCTCATTCGCACAGTGGTAACAGGTAAAGGTCCATCCAAGACATTCTTAAGAGGGAAACTACAAACAATATTCTGAATTGTTGCTTCAGAATCACAAGTCACAGTCCTAGACTTTGGAACAGGTCTTCGACTCAATGCATCTGCGTTACGATTCGATTTTCCAGAACGGAATTTGACCTGAAAGTCAAACTGTGCTAACTGACTTGCCCATCTCATCTCAGTAGCTCCCAACTTAGCTGTCTGTAAGTAGTTCAGTGGATTATTGTCTGTATAGACTACAAAACGAGATCCTAACAAATAATCCCGGAATTTTTCGGTCACTGCCCATTTCAAAGCAAGTAGCTCCAACTTCATTGAGCTGTAGTTGTTCATGTTCTTTTCTTGAGGTCTAAGAGTTCGTGATGCAAACGCAATGACAACTTTGCCTTCGTCTTGTTGCTGGGATAAGACTGCACCTAGTCCATCCATACTAGCATCAGTTTCTACGATGAATTCACGCTTGAAATCTGGATATCCAAGTATTGGCGAGGATGTGAGTTTCTGTTTCAAGGTTTCAAATGCATCATCACAATGTTTCGTCCAAGATTCCTGAATTGATGTTTGTTTTAATTTCTTTCTCTTTGATGACTTTCCACCAGATACAAGTTCATGCAATGGTCTAGCAATTTTGGAAAAGTCTTTCACAAAGCGTCGATAGTATCCAGCAATTCCTAAGAATGATCGTAGCTCTTTCTCATTAGTTGGTTTAGGCCACGACTTGACAGCATCAATTTTCTCGGGATCTGTAGAGATTCCTTCAGAAGAAACAATGTGTCCAAGATATTTTACGGATTTTTGAAACAGTTTGCACTTAGACGGCTTCATTTTAAGTCCATGCTGTTTGAGTTTCGTAAATACAATGTCAAGTCTTTCCATATGCTCTTCAATGGTGTTAGAAAAGACTAAAATATCATCAAGATAGAGTAACAGAATTTCAAAGTTTTCTTCACTAAAACAAGCCTCCATAAGTCGCTGGAATGTCGCTGGAGCGTTACACAATCCGAAAGGCATTCGTAAATATTCGTATAACCCTCCAGTGCCCACTCTGAATGCTGTTTTCTGAATTGATTCTGTGTCCATCTCCACTTGGTGATACCCTTGAGCTAAGTCAATAGAACTAAAGTATTTGGCGCCGTGTAACAGGTCCAGAGTCTCTTCGATTCTTGGAAGCGGATACGCATCATTAATGGTCTTCTTATTCAGTTGTCGATAATCGACACATAGTCTAATACTTCCATCCTTTTTGCGTACAATTACGATAGCTGATGCGAAAGGACTTGTGCTTTTCCTGATGATTCCTTGGTCTAGAAGTTTACGTATATGTTGTTTAACTTCTTCCAATTGATTAGGTGGTATCCTTCGGTGTGGTACACGGATAGGAACTTCGTCATTCAATTTGATGGAATGTTTTATCAATGAAGTTTGTCCTAAATCAAGATCATCTTTACAGAAAGAGTCGGAATGTTTCTTCAATAGAGCGTCAAACATTTTCCTTTGGTCTTCAGTAAAGTTTACATCACCAATGTTCAGCTTGATGTCAGATTTCACATTCTGTTCACATTTTTCTACAGTCATTTTGCGAATTACCACTTCCTTGTCGGTGAATTCTATATCATAGTTGTCACTTGTTGACCTCAAAGAATCTACGCTGTGTAATGTTCCAATTCTGCTCTTGGCTTTCAGCCAGACATCTTCACTTCCCATATTGACAATGCGCACAAACACTTTTCCCATGCACACATTACTTAGAGTATCTATTACAGAAATATTTCTAGGTAGGGCTCCTGTCGATCCCTGAATAGCTTGAACTGCTGCTGCGTATTCTTCTCCTGTCTTGTTGTGCCGTGTTGACCCAATAACGACTTTCATTGAGTAAGCAGGTATACGTACATCATCCTTCCCTGCGACCTTCACAAAAGCTATACGATCACACTTACTGTCCATTTCAAAAACTGTTTTCACTCTGTTCCAATTTTCCTTATCGGGGAAATTAGTATCATCAGTGTCACATATTTCATTTGTAATGTATTTCAATATGTTACAGCCAAGAATTCCTTCGATTGGTTTCGAACTAATGTCTCTGGAGACTAGAAATCCAACATTGTGAAATTTAACGCCACAAACTTCAAGATCAAGTTCGATATATCCTAAATAAGGAATGTCAGTATTGTTGGCTGCTACCAATTTCAGAAGTTGCGTGGTATCATTGATTTTCACTGATGAAAAATGCTTCTCATATACAGTCTCCGGAATGGTCGACACTTCTGATCCAGTATCAAGAAGAAAAGTCATTTCAATCCCGTTGAGATTCACTTTTGCTTTTGGACATTTTGAAAATACATTATTTGCATTCTGAAGTTTATTCACAGTTTTTGAGTCGGTGTGATTACATTGCCACTCATCAGTATGACTCTCTACTGTGAGTGTTTGCCTTTTGGGTCCCTTGATTCTGTTTTCTCCTTTGAATCCTTGTTAGGGCACTCATTTTTCTTGTGTCCTTCTTGTCCACATCCAAAACATGTCACCACGAATTTTCTTCCTCTGCCTCGTCCACGACCATATCCTGAAAACTTTCCTCTATTTGACTGAGACATCTTGGTTAGAATGTCAATTTGTTTTTGTTGCTGTTCCAATAGATCCTGTTGTTTCTTCAGAATCTGTAGAAGTTCTTGATTTGAAGTCAAACACTCGACGCTTTGTTTGTTTACTTTCGCTACTGTTTCTGCATTCGGTTTGTCGTCGATCCACTGAAGGATTTGTCCTCTGAATTCTAGAAATGGCATTTTGGAATGTTCAAATGCAAACCTTCGTAGTTCTCGTTTTAACTGTGGATCACGCACACCATCAACGAATTTGTCTATTAGAATTTTATCAAAATGTTTCATATCACTTCCTTCTTTCTTAGCGATCCTAGTTGCCATCTTCAGTAGAGCTAATGAATACGTTTCTATGGTTTCATTTTCTTTCTGTACTCTTTCGTAGAAAGTTTGTCTTAATTGCGAAACAGTTTCTTGTACGAGATATACGCTTTCAATGATCGTGAAAATGTCGTCTGGTGTTTTCTTACTCTCTGCTGGTCTAAGTCTTACTTCGCTTTTTGCGGCTCCTTCCAGATGATCTAGAATAAATTCAATTTTCTTGTCATTGGATTGAATACTGTGTAAATGTTCACGCATGTCCATTAACCAGTCCTCAACATCTGGATCAGACTCTTTTACAGGTCTTCCAGAGAATTTCGGTAATTTTCTCTCAGTCCTTATGTATACAGGTTGTGGAGGAGGTTTAGCACTTGCCAGGTCCCACAATTGTTTCTGTAATTTTTCCACTTCAGCCTGGACTTGTTCGACTTCCATTTTGAATGAATCAATATGATAGAAAGTTTGTGCGAAAATGTCAAAATGGTGACAATCTAAATTACTCACTATATGTAAGCTAATCTAAATCATGATTATCAATGTGAATGGAAGAATACAACAGAATTCAACATCAGTATTATGCTGCTCTGGTCTGTCTCCTGGTCCACCAGTCACATCACCATATCTGTACCTCTGAGAATCCCACCGCTGCCACCATTGTAAGAAACAGGATTCTTTTATTCTCTCTTGACCGTTTATTCATCAAGTATACAGGTGATATAAATAAAGGTGATGGATCCCAGATAGGGAAACACTGGTACATCAGAACGTCCTCAACAGACAAACAGACTAGTGTGACACTGTAGAATTGACTGATCTATAAAGTTCTTCTCTACAGGAGTCTTTGTTACAAAAACAATTCACAAATGGCGCACACGAGAAAAATAATCTCAATGACCAATGATGACCAAGTTTTGACATTAATTCAAAAACTTCTCTTTCAAAACCAATATCATATTCTAAATGGAAATAATGTGAAATATAAGTTACAATATTTTCATTACTATGAAATTACACAAAACCTATTATACCTAGTTGCATTATTTGGAGAGTATACAGATTAAAAAAATATTCATTACGTAACATCTTTTCAATGACACGTAATCCGCAGTGGTCAAGTGGTTAACGCAGAGCTCCTTGAACAACAGATCACGACAACCCTGGTTCAAATCCCAGTCGTGGTAAAAACTTTTTTTTTCTTTTCTATATATATACATAAAATTTGTTTTAAAAAATATACAACTCTTACATTCAAGTAACAGTAACTGGCATAATGCGCCGTTGCTTTATTCTTTAGTTTTTATAGAAAGTTGCACGGAATACCCGATTTCGCGGATTCAATGATACCCTAATATCGAGTATTATACGCGATTTCACGGATAATACCCGATTTCGAGTATTCTCTCCGACCTGTTTAATCCCTTCAATACTTCATTTATTGTACATTTTTTTTGTAATTTTAGTGCCCTCACCTGTGGATGATGTGTCCCTCCTCCCTGACCCTCCTAAAAACAGCCTGGTGGTGACCTGGAATCCCCTCAGATGTGAGTCAGGGTCCTCAGATAACGCATACATCAAGACGTACCGGATCATCTACTGCCAGTTGAATACACAAGAATCCTGTAAAGGTCTGAGCATAATTCATGGTGTTGTTTTAACTTAAATGTATCATTATACAAGAAAGATGCTCTTCAAATTTTATGTTCCATACCAAATGCAGTAGTATTAATAATGATTAATCGTTTTCATGAGTTAAAACTAAATAATCAGTTGTAAAACTTGAGAAGAAGTTAATCCCTTTCATCTTTAAGGAACACGCTAATGGAGCTTTTTGATTTTAACCAATATATGTTGATTTATAGACAGGGAATATTCTGTGAGTGTTCCTGCAGATAGTACCACACAGTACACACTAAGAGACTTAGAGGCAGACATAGAATATGGTGTGCTGGTACAAGCCATGTCACTCACGAAGGAGGGGCGTAGAAGTAAAATGGTGACTGGACGACCTACCAATAATGGTAAGAAGTATTCCATGTTAACATCAGGTTTTCTCCAGCTTTAAATGGACTTTCATCAAAAATAATATAGAGGGATTTTAAACAACAAACAAAAAATCTAGAAGATTTATTTTTCTTTGTGCTCCTCACAAATTATTTGCTACATGTGTTGAGAAAAGTAATGGACTCCGAGGTTAAATTTGTATGAAAAAGAGCTTTCATGAACTGTATTTTCATGTGATATAGAAAATTATAAGGGATATAATACAAAATTAAAATTGGAGAGCAATTTTACCAGATTTATTTAAAAAACCATAACTAATGTTCATTTTTAGAAAGGAATTGAGGTTGGTCCCTACTCATTGTGCATGCTCCTGTTTTATTTTGTTCAAAGAACTTTGGCATATCTCTAATTTCTATATTATAAGACTAATTCATTGATATTGTCTTTGTAGATTTACCAGGGGGATCAATAGCAGCCATTGCTATCGGAGGAATATTTGTTCTTATACTTGTCATTGCAGGAATCGTGTTTGTTTGCAGGTTTGTGTTTTGCGCGCAAAGGTTTAAATCCAAAATATCATAATAAATAGAATACATTTTATTTCATGGATTACCTGAAAATGCATGAGAATTTTTTTTTATTCAATGAGTACCTTATTCTATTAAGGGCTTTATACATGTACAGGACTTGCATGTATGTCATTGACTGTAATTATTTGGAAATATCATGTGTTTGGGTTTATCCTTTAAAAATATTTCAAAGTTTAGGGCAATTTGCAGTTGAAACATAATCAAAAATGAGTTTGATGAAGGTGAACTTCAGCTTATATATAGATACTCATTTTACCTGAAGGTATTGTTTATCAGTTTTTTTTATCCTTTACAGACTCTTTAGACGTAAATTAGGTCTGGATGAAAAATTTGAAATAGAAAATATACAAGTTAGGCCCTATGAAAATCTGGTATGTATGAATTTTGTCAAATATTTAATCATAGACAATCTGATGATCAATTTGGTATATAGACTTTGGACTTACTGTAAATCATTTTTATTCACAAGAATTTTATATTAGCATAATCACAGGAGTCTGTCTGCTTGCGAAAATTTTTATTCTTGCATACATTTGAATAATAACGTATTATATACAACACAAATCACTGCTCTTAAAAAAAAATTTTCTAATGAAAACCTAATAGCTAACTAGCAAAAACCTAATAGCTAACTAGCAAAAAAGTTCCAAAATGAACTTTATTTAGATTTACCGGTATAAGATCAGGAAGTCTGTAAAGAAAAAAATATTATTCTAGTGGGGAGGAGGTACTTGCTACAAGTAAATAGCTCTCACTCTTGTAAATTATCTTTTTTGTTTTTTAGCCCACTGGAAGCAATTTGTATAACAACTTCACCGTACCAGCTGACAGATCCAGCTCACCCCTCATCACACCTGTAAGTATAAAGTAACAGCTTCTCACTTGTATGTATAATACACATAACAGCATTTATTTATTACTTCACACCATCCAATACACTGCAGCTGAATGAAACTGCCACTTGTATATAATATTTGAGGTATCATTATCCTTTGTTTTCTTATTTATCCTAACTTTCTTCAAATTGTCTTTTCGTTACTCCTCAGAATGGAATGTCATCAAATGGAGATATTAGACATAATGGAGTAAATCACAGTTATGAAGACATCTTACCAGTAGGATCCACAGTGGACCTTGACGAGGAAGATGGGAGTGGGGAACCAAAGGACTCCAAACCCGACCTTAAATCCAGCATGGTAACGTTACCAATCACGGATGTTCCACGGCAGATCAGTAAGGACAGCGGTCATGGAAGCCTGTCCCCCACGTCAACTCGCGGCCCACCTGAAGAGTCTGACAAAAAAGAGCGAATTCTGAGAGATATTATATTGGACCTTCCTCCCGATTATGCAAAGGCAACGTCAGTTACCACCCAATGTGTGCATGGTAATAGAATTATGATGATGATATGTGTAATATCAATTTTATTAAACATATTAAAATTTTTTATTGAGATCTTTGAAAGATATCAGCAATGCCAAAAAAATTCCATAAAATTGTTCCTTTTCACGAATTCAATGACTGCAGTTTGCTGCAAGTTGAACAAATCAATATCTTTTCCAACACGATTCTCATCTGCTGTACAGTATTTGATTTTTTTTATTGCTAAGAACACATTTATATTGGTAATATTGAATACATGAATTTAAATAATATCATCACTAAGAACTTATGAAACATACAGCCTTTTTTTCTTGAAACAACCCTGTTCTGTAGTATAAATGATGTTTTCTGGCTGTTCCTCTTTGTATACTGGTGCAGGTTTCATTCTTAACAAGAAGGCAATGCCAGTCTTTATTGGCTTTCATAAGTGCCTCTATGTAGTCAGACCTTTATGCCTAAACCTTTCTGGTACATTTTACTTTGTAATTGAATGATCAATGTTTTTAAAAATTCTGCTTTTCATATTTATGAAAAATTTAATAACTTCAAGTGACATTTTTTGAAGGATATGAGAAAGGTTCCTTTGATACTGAGGACAGTTTCCCCCCTGATTCCCGAGGAACATACAAGGATAGTTTATGTTCCTCTTCACAGTCTGGTGGCATTCCAGTAGAAGATGGATACAAGAGTGAGGCGGACATCTTACAAGGTAAATACAGTCAAACTTTGTTATCTCAAACTTAATGGGACCTAGAAAAAACTATCGAGATATCAAGGTTGAAACACTTACATGTTAAGGACAAGTGGTTGAAACTTCAAAGTCACTTTTACATATCCATTGTATTCGAGATATTGGTTTCTGAGATACCAAAGTTCAAGTTCAATTGTAGTTATAATAAGCAATCTTAAGTGCAATATGGGCCAGTTTCATAACTTTATAAAGAAAAATCTTCAAAAACTGTGTAACCTTGTAGTTCGAGGCAGATAAGTCCATGGGATGTAGAAGGAGAGTTCATGGATATGAAGGGTATCTAAATGTCAACCCTTTTGTGTGTTTTTGATAAAAAAAAATCTGGATCTACTACCTGCACTAAAACCCTGAGTATAACAGCACACGTCTCATGTGATGTTTTACGGTTGACACAAAGAAAAACAAATATATTGCTTTAATATACTGTAAACCAATTATAAATGACATTTAATTGCAAAAAAAAATAATTAAAATGTTTTGTGACAATCTCATAAACTGAAGTTTTCCATTTCATAAAATTGTGTGTTTAAAATTAACTGTTTCACAATTATAAATGGATGGTTTCTAATCTCGCAAATATTTGCACCTTCAAAGTTGGTTTACTGTATGTACCCAAGAACATCCAAAAACTCCAAAAAAAGTTTGTTATTGCACTGCACTCCCAAACACTTTTAAATGAATTTATACTAAATATTGAAATTATTATGTCTAAATATTGAATATGAAAATTTTAACTTCAAATTTACTTTTACAAGATAATTTAATATTACATGTATTTGCAATTTACATATAATAGGACATAAGACACTAAGTTAACGTTTTATCTATTTAGAGTGTTTGAGCATTATTTTCTGCACTACAGAAGGATTTTTGAAATTCAAAAGATTTAAATTTCATTTTGTTTTCTGGTCATTTTAAAAGCTGGAAAGTTTTGCTTTCTTACGTCCCTGAAAACTATTTTGTCCTCTTACATTGATCTTATTCAGTCATGATTGGTAGTAATGTTGGGAAAAATATTATATTCATTAGAAATTGTAGGTACTGTCAAATATTTTTGCAAAATTTTAATTTTTTTAGACAACAATGACAAACAACAAATTGAAGAATCCTCCAAGAAGTGCCCAGAAAACAATGAAGTGGTGAGGAGTGGAGAGGAAGAACTTGAAAACAAAGAAGATGAAGTTGAGCAGACATCAGGTTATGTGATGTACTCATCTAATGATACAGAAATGACCATAGGAAGCCAAATCACCAATGTCCAACCTAGGAAAACCCTTCCTTCATATGACAAAACACAGACCACCACTGGTCACCAACCACACAATGTCCAATCTACTGAGACCGCCATGGAAAACCAAATCAACATTGTCCAAGCTGAAACCACCACTCCTACATGTAATATTACACAGACCAACCAAGCACACCAACCATACAATGTCCAATTTAAGAATACTGTTCCCAACATTACAAAGACCATCTCTACAAACCAACCCAACAGTGCTAAAAATCAGTGTAGCAAGCTACAGAGTTCAGCTGTTGATCAGCTGAATAATGACCAATCAAATGATGGAACAGAAATTAAACAAGAGACAGATATGTGCCAAACTGGAAGAAAACCAAGTTCACTTGGATACCATTCCAACAGAACACTGGATACAGAGCACCGGACCACTGAGATGGGTTCTGGTCCACAGCTGCTAACAGCCGAATCAGAACAGTTTACACACTACCTCCCGCATAATACAAATTTTGCAGAACTTGCTGCCTCTCATAATGATAAAGAAAATTCCTTGATTTCCAATTGTGCAGCTGGTAATGCAAATGATCTTTCTGTGATGAATTTTGATTATGTCCCAAATGGGACATCAGATCCATTGCCTAATGGCAAAACAAGTCATTTATCTGATGGTACATCCGATATTGTGCCAAAAGATACCAAAACTTTCTCTGGGATGAATTATGTACCTACCTATGTTCCAGATGATACAGCTGATAATATTCCCAGTGTTACAAAACATGTGCCATGTAGTCCAGCAGGACATGTGTCAAATGGTACAACTGACGATGTGCTAAGTGATGCAACAGGATATGTGCCAAATGGTGCTACAGACTATGTACCAAATAGTACAATAGACTATGTATCAAATGGTGCAACAAATTATTTGCCAAATGGTGCAACTGACTGTGTGTCAAACGGTGCAACAGATTATGTGTCAAATAGTACAAGTGATTAATATCTGCCCAATGGTACAAGTATGTGCCTCTAGATCATTGGACAATGAAGAACAACTTCGTTCTGATACATTCCAATTCTCAGGCCAGGTCACAATCACAACATAGCTGGTTATTCATCTATATGTTGAGTTTCCTCCACAGTACCACAGTATGATTATCAAAAAAGTAAAAAGAAAGTGGTTCCATTGATTGTCAAAAAAAAATAATGTGAATGGAAAGCGGTTCCATTGTCACCAGAGGGGGTTGGGGGGGGGGGCTGGTTAAATCCATATCTAGTTTAATACAAGGAACTTAAAATTGGTCATTTGAAATATAGGAATTTGATGCTAAAGGTGTAAAGAAATCCAATTAATGGTACCCCATTTACTGTAAATAATCTAAAATGTAAATGATGAATGAATCGTATTCAGAAAGCACATTTCACTGACCATGGTTATCGTTTGTGTGTATCTATTTTTAAAATATGTTTATGTATATTCAAAATGTTTCCATAAGTCTATAAAACACATCATTACTTTTTCCAACTGTTTAAACCGCAATTGCACATTTGCATATGTAAAAATGTTCCTGTAATGCAGATATCGTCTACCGTCAACAGCAAGTTTTTCAAAAACAGTTGTACATTTTCTCCAACATGCAAAGAACAAGAGCCACGAAGCATGAAAATCCGCACCATCTTCAAACTTCATAATTTTTTATCAAATGATAGTCCAGTATGTGTAGGTTGTGAAACAGTTTATTTTTTAACAATATCTCTTCTGGTTTTCTTTGTACAGATGTTTAAAATAAGCATTGTTTTCCAAATGAAATGCCAAGACGTCATGACGTTGACGTTAAAGACTTTGACGTTAAAGACTTTGACGTCTTGGCATTAAAATTGTTTATAGGAGGTAACAAATTTACATTTATAGAAAGTAATGCACCAAAAGAAGATTTTAAATAATAAAAAAAAATTATGAAAGCAATACCACAATCGTATTTTATATACTCAGGTAACTAATGGCAAATTCTTGGACCTTTCCGGCAAGGTTGTTTTTCCGAGCTGCCGGAAAGGCCACAGAAGTTGTGGTTGTAATGAAGATCTGTAGATATAGGAGTGAAGTCTTTATCTTTACACTTTTATTTTTATTTTAAATGATTACAAGAGGCAACTAGTGGTATTGTGAGTAATGAGCTCACTGAATGATACCCCCACCTCCCATATAATTATAATGGCAAAGTCCATCTTTTGCTGTGGCCGGGAAACCCAAAATATGCATCGGATCAAAAAGTAAAATAGGAGGTGCACAATATGGCAATATATATTATATAATAAAGTTTCTGTGAAAGTTTCATTAAATTTCACTCAGTAGAAGAGGAGTTGCGGATAAGAGATGGGTACCCCAAAGCGTAACAGACAGACGGACGGATGGACAAACCGATTACTATATACCCTCCCGCTTTTCAAGCGGGGGTATGAATAAAAGGGGAATAATATTCAATATAAATGGCATGAAATAATCCTACTCGGACGTCTTGGGATCCTGGTAGACAAAACATAGGTGAAAACATACAACAAAAGTATTGAACGATGCCAATAATATAGGCCGTTGAAAAGATTGCATATTTAGCTGAACAATTTAATTAAGAATTCGACTTACTTGCAATATTCTACATTATACAGAAACATGCATGGTATACTACACCACTTGCATAGTACAAAACGGTTTTCTTCGTATGTTTTATTTTATGCACAATTCGTTTCGTTCTGTTCGCTTTATGAACGGTACGCTTTTGTGAACGGTATGTCAATGAAGTGGACTGAGCCTGTACACTTTAGTAAATGATTGGCTACTTAATAAACTAATTTATTTCTTAAATAATATATTTCTATTTTATTAAAATGTAAGTACAATGTAAGCCAAAGATTGAAAAGGTCCATATTTGAGCAAGATTTGTCCGTTGGCTATTTACCGAAAACCAAGGGGAATTCCGTGTACGTGCATCAGTGAAAATCTGTAAACCACTGCACCCGATGTAAGACTCACATCGACAGATGACCACAGGTAGACTGCTAGCGCCCAAGGCATTCACACCTGTACAGAATAAGCCCCTCCCTCACCTGGAATTTACCACCCGGTAAAAAATCTCTGCCTTTAAGAACAATTCAGGGGATTACTAATTCATTATTACAATCGGCTAAAAAAATTTACCATTTTTTTTAATTAGTTTTATTTGAGAGCACATTAACAGACTTTGAACTCAAACAGGGGTATATGAAATGATATAAGATATAATTGATTGTGAGGGAAAAATTAAATTTGTTGAATGGCTTATTACAGAATTTGACTTTTAAAGTCATAGAGAAGAATGTGAAATGTATTATTATAACATTAAAGACGTTGACTACACATTTAGTTTCTAACCCCCCCGGCAAGAAAAAAATATCACGCGAGCAACTCGATTGATCTCACACAATAAAATCTAAAAAAAAAAAAAAATAGACAGTTATTTCTTTATACACACACATTCTCTGACATGAAATTCAAAGAAGCATCTATTAAATTTTACACATGACTGTATTATTATATATGACCAAATCTGTATATCACCCCTCTCAGATTCCACCAAATACATGGTAGGCGCGAGGACCGGTCTAATATTGTCAAGGGTTGCGATGTGATAAAAGTTTGACATGTATGATTATTCCTTTAATTGCTAATTTGAAAATATTATGAACACAATTCCGAATATGTGCACTTTTGATAATTATGCATGTACGTGCTTCAGTTTCTTTTTCTCATTAATCCATTCAGAATCAATTCATTTTATAAATGATCCATCTAAAACAAAGGAAATAGAATTCTTAATTATATTAAAAAATTATTTATAGGATATTTAATGTTATACATGTTATAAGCAGTAAACAATAAGAAAAAAATCCGAGTTGAAGATTAGTTTTCTTCCCATTTTCTTGATCTTAAAGAATATTCATATTATTTTTCCTTTTTTTTTTTGGCCCACCCGATTTATTTAAAACGATCGTCCTGTTGCTTCCATTGCAATACAAGGTATCATCTCCTAAAGAAGGTAGAGAGATTGTCATTTTTAAAATCAGCATATTATTTTTGAAAGATTTAAACAATAAAATGTTTGTAAGTACGGAACTTAATGTCGCAGCTGTTGCAGATGAAAAATATAACTCGTGTAAACAATTATATTCATTATTAGATGTTAATTACATGTAATGTATATGAATTATTACCGTCTTCCTTGGAAGACGGTATTGTATAGTTGAAGTTTTTTACAGTCTTCGGACTATGCACTTCCTCTCTTTTGTGATTGGTAGAAAATGCATGATGAGAAAATTTTCAATTATTTCATTGGTTGAAATGCTGTTCAAGGCAAGGGAGGTAACTTTCTGATGATCTAATTTTCGTACGACTTAACAATTTTGCAAGATTTTCAATCTTAAAAAAAATGACAAAACGAACAACAAAATCAGCAGTAATTTATTCCTAATAACATGATTTTTTTGTATAGTATGGAATGCCATATACGACAGCCAACTGCTTACTGCCAACTGCTGACTGCTTACTGCCAACTGCCACACATATTTGAATAAATTTTATTTTTATATTGATATTTATGTAAATTCAAAAAAAGGCGCGGATCTATAGGACATTTTTTCAGGAGGGTCACTCTGGTAAAAAAAAAAATCCAACCCAGAAATTTCTTGACAAGAAAAAAAATACGTTAAGTCCTTTCCTTAATGAGAAAATTTATTTCGGCCGGGGAGAGGGGGTTCTTATGCGTCATACTTTCATGTGTATGACATTTTCATACCAACTTAATGTGGCAGAGTGGTTTTAATAAATAAATAAATAATAAAGAATATTTATTTATCTCAAAGTGTTTTATAGTTATCATTATCATCATTGCACTTTTCACTTTGCATGCTACTAATTCTGACTGGCTGACCTTGTCGACCTTTGACATTACGAGTTACGTAATTTTATTGGTCAAGGGTTTTGGCGGTAAGTTTCTATTGTTCGATGTGTTGTGCGGGGGCACTTCCTTCTCGCACGGTCAGCCAACGATACCGGCTGTGAGACGAGTCTGTCTCGACCATTACAAGATATATATTTTGGTTTTACCATATTACTACTTTGAGTATTAGTATACAGATCACATACAGTAAGTTATCTTTTTTTCTACCTTTATCTTTCTATCTTTACGTAATATAATTTCTTTGATTGAAAGAGAGAACGAGTGAAGTTTTGAAATAAAGTTCATTGTCTTTTGTAAAGTAGTATTTTTCAGTAATCATATTGATTATAAGCAATACTAGATATAGATATTGTAATTTGTACAGTTTTATTATTTTTATGATCAGCTATAATATTGTCTTGAGATTACGGCTGAACCTATGATTGTTGTTTTTATATAGGTTCTGTATAGATGCAATATTCGAGCCAGCATTTTTGTTAGTGCTCAGCCTGATTCCATAAATTGGTACGCTATAGGAATTATTACTTGTTTTTACATTTTTAATATATTCTGATAAATTATTCAACTTACGGAAATTTCTATCTAAACACGATTTTGGTAATTCTGTAATTTGTAAGAGTTATTTTCCTTTTTACGCATTCATGAATTTGGAACATTTATAATCTGTTAAATCTATTTTTAGTAAAATCCGTGTCGATGTATGAGGACTGCATTGAACTGAATATATTGTTTGATGTCATTTACTTATTGTATTTTATTTCTTATAGGGCCGATATTTTCACTTTATTGATTGTGTACATGTGGAACGAGATCCAGGCAATAAAGATCGAATCCATACCCTATACACTGTGTTTATCATTCATCAATATGACACGGTCACAAATGGCGCCCAACGTGGGGCAAATGGCGCCCAACGGTCTTGGATCTACCACATATCGAGACGTATAGACGATTCAGCTACTCAGCCGAGTCCACGTGCAGTGCGGGATTACCCTCTGGAACGTATCCGTGACGTACTCGGACTGACGGGTCAGACGCACCCCCAGGAGCTCACAGAGACTCTTTACTTTTGAACAGTGCATTTTGTGACGCTGTATAAACTTGTGTGTGTGATTATTATTCTTTAGGAAGAGAGTATTGTATTCAGTCCTCGACACGGTAAGGTACAGATTATTGATTTTTCTGTTACTATTTTTGAACACTGGCGTTTCGCTAGAGTAGTCAC